GAGCAACAGAGGGTAAGGGAGAAGCAGAGAGGAATGTGAAGCTACTTGCCCAGCACTGCAGAGTAGGTCCAGGGACAAAGTTCAGAACGAAATCTTTTGCAATCCAGTGACTCTGAATTTAATGTCAGACCATACAAACATTTGCGTGGAGGACTGTGAAAAGACTTTGCCAGACTGGGAACGGCCAAGTTACTTATGAGATACAGAACTACTATCCCTGTGCTAAGGACAGGTTTCCCAAAAAGTCAAATAAACCTCCAGTTTCCTTCTCCTGCCCCCAGCCAATATGGGATCCCACAAGCACACTTTCTTATGGTATCTGCTTTTGTTTACCTTCAGATCATTTTTTAAAAGCCTCTCCCCAGCCTCTGGAACGTACTAAACAATCATGATACCATAGTAGAAATTAGACTACTAATAAGTCCAGTGTTGTGCTATCAGTAGTTGAGACACCTTCTGTAATGGTTCAAAGGTAACACCATGAACTATTACACGTGTAAAAGAGGCTGGAAATTCAGGACAGAGATAGCAGTGAAATCCTTGCAAATAACAATGGAGAGCAGTAGCACATATCTGTAAAATTATAAGCAATCGCTCATAGCAGTGTATTCAAGCACCAGCACAACACCCCTGAGAAGCTCTATAGGTACAAGTGAAATTTTACAATTGTATTGGCTCTGGATGCTTTTGATAAGAATAGTACCGTTCTGCTTAATCAGCAAGAATATATGCTTAGGTTAGTATCAAATGCAACACGGAAGATTTCAGCCTATCAAAACTACTTTTAGCTGTATTATGAAATTTTAAAATCTTCCTGAAGTTTACCGGACTACAAGGTGGTATTACAGTCACCTAAGGAAATGAATGCATAGCTGAGGGGGAAAATGTTTTATAGTATCTGATAATACCTTAGGCATTGATAGGACATTTTTGTACAGGTTGAAAATGCATTCTTCATTTTTCACTGACAGCTGGTTAAAGGAGGAATGCAGTGAAAAGTCTATAAAAGCTTTAAAAAAACCCCCTGAATAGGTCTGCACTTCTGGTTTTCTCCCGCCCATGCTAATAAGTGATGTGCAGTTGTTAACAGTATCTTTTGGCTTCAGTGCCACCTTGGCCTGTAACCACACCAGGCAACAAAGAGTCCTACAGCACTTCTTGAACCGGGAAAGAATGGGGTTTCACATCTCTTTTTAATACAATAGCGTAGAAATACTGGAAGAAACTTTTTACACGATTCTTTTTCTTCAGCTTGCACGAAGTCTATGCACTGCCACTCCAGCAGGCTGGCTTTTGCTCCTTCTCTACCACTGGAAGATACTTTCTGTAGGTCAGCAGAGCTAGTTTTGGAGTCTGTTCTTACTGCTTTTGGCTCCTCCATGTCTGATACTGCTGATCATTGATTCCCATTTGATATATTTTCTTTCCTTGAGTTTGCAATACTGTCCTTGCCTCTTTCTTCTCCTACCTTTGTGGCTGCTCCTCCTACATCTCCTTTGGGAGGCGGTGTTCTTTCTTTTTCTAACATTCCCTAGGGCAGCTCTTTCCTCTGTTTCTAGTTTCTTCTTTTTCCTTCCTCACAACCTGCTCCTACACACTCTCATCTCCTCCTATGACTTCAGCTGCTATCTCTCCATCAACAAATCACAAACCAGCCTGATCAGCCGCTCTCCATCCAATCCTACATATTTCTCAGCTTCACTAGCATCTTCTCCTTGATGTCTCAGTGTCAACTTAAAGGGATAATGGCCAAAACTGATGACCTGACTCTCTTCAGTCCACAATTCTCTGTCAGTGTTGAAGTCCTCACTTTTCTTCTGTAACTCCATCTCTAACAGCTCCTCCCACTCTCTAAACCTTTACCAAATGAAACCTGTACCTTTTCACTTTTTTTTAGTGTTACACTTTTGAGAGCATCTTGTTCCTTTCCATTCACACACAGTTTAGATGCATATCCTTCTTAAGGCATCATCTCTCTTCTTGTTTGTGACAACTAAGCAAAAAACTGTTTTACTGATGAAGGACTTCCTGCAAGGGCATCTTCATTGATCTGTCCTCTCTCCCCCTCTTTTCCCAGTGCTCCCTCCTTTCTTTGAATCCCTTCATTGGTTTCCTCTGTTCTGACATCGAGTCAAGGTTTATTACACTCAGCTCTTTCAGTAACACTAGTAATTATTTTCCTGCTTTTTTCCATATGCTTTTATGCATTTCATTTCTCTCTGAGCTAGTCCATGTCTTTTCTTTAAAAAAAAAACCCTCCTGTAGAGGTTTTCTGTCTTTCCTCCTGTAGAGAAAATTTGTCTTGTAGAGAAAAGATATTTGGTGATCTAATTGCCATTAACAGATAAAATAGCTTTGATACTCTGATCATTCTCCTGAAATATTACAAGAGAATGAAACATGCTTATTATTATTCCTTTTACCCATGCATCTATGATTTATTATCAGAGTAAATGTATTCTTTCCTCTGCAATATAGGCAGCAAAAAAAGATTGAAAAATAGGCTCCACAGATTCAAGAGGCATATGTCCATCAGTGGTCATCAAGCACGATGGTCCAGGTGTGCTTTTCCAGAAGTGTATAAACTGATGATTGCAGCAAGCTGGAACATTATATTTGGAGAAAGATTCCTGTATACCTGTCTGTTACTGGCCCATATGTTGGACACTGGTTACTGGGCTAGTTGGGCATTTGCTCTGCTGAAGTCCCTATGTTACATCCCCACAGTTCTTATATTCCTGTAACTTAATGGGATAACCAACAAATCTTTCTGATAACCAATAAATCTTTCTGACATCATCTATGCCCTTTATCTTTTTCCACCCTTACAGAAACCCTTCCCCTTTCTTTACAAGAGGGACTCACTTTGTGAACTCCCGTGGACTAGGATCCCATCTTATTTCTTTGTCTTGAAAACTTCCCAGCACTTTTATGGGAACACCTAACGTTCTGATTATTAATAACAAGAAAAACAATATTATGATGAGAGCAGAACCGCTGCTGGCAGAATTATTTGCAATCCTAATTTCACACATACAACGTGCTGTCCTGAACCTCTGCCCCTCCAGGTAATATCAGCTGGGGTTTTGTTTTGTTTTTCCTTTTCCAATTCTGCTGCAGGCAGTTTACTTTGCAGCTTCCATCCATTAATCTCAAAGTACTTTTACATAGAGGAATTAATTAAGACTCTTGCATACAAGAATTAATTAAGACAGTAGTAGGCATGTTTTATCATCTCCATGTTGCACATGGGGGAACTGAGGTGAAGAAAGAGTTGCCCAATTCTTTTGCAGAGCTGGGAATGTACTTAGGCATGTATCATATCCTCTCAACCTGGTGTGTAAGAATATCCTTTCTCTCCTAACGTTGTGAGGCAGATATCCTGTTTACCAAGTAAAATACCATTGACACGCAGTCCTATTATTCAAAATGGAAACGCTTCCCTCAGGCGAATACCTTGGCCAGTCAAATTTCTAAACGCATCCTTCTTTCTTATTTCAGACAGAAAGAAGAACACAGCACGAAAAGCAAACTACTGTAACTACCGTGGGATCTGATAACATTTATACTCTTCTAAAGAATCAACCCAATACCTGAAATCTGTAATCTTATCATCCTGCTTTAACAGACTCTCCCTCTTTCTCAGCATTCACATGTATACTTCTGTTTGATAAAGAAAGAAATATAAACCTAATGACTTATGATTTTTATCTACAGTTCATAAAACCTTTGCACAGCTGACGCTGTACTATCATGCTTCTGAAATGCAACAGTGCCACCTTCAGATCATGCTAAATATGACGTTTTCACAAACTATCAGTATGGAAGAAGCACAGCAGTGATTTTTCTTTCCATCCAGACAAGTCCTGCTAGAAAGCCCAGAAGCACATGTATAAACCTGAGCAGAACCTGCACATTGACATACTGAAGCACGAATGTTCACTGGGAACAGTGGTCCTTTATTTTCATAAATAAACATTAATAAAGAGCAATCAAATACTACTTTTTAATACCTGGCATATTCACTCTCTAAGCACGAGAATCACAGCATATTCCCCTGCCACTGCACTACCAACTCACATTGGGCAAAGCAGCACATCAGCTGGGACCTGCTCCTGTTCTGCGACTTTCATGTAATTTGCCAACTATGCCTGGGTATGTTGAGTCCCACGGTGAGAGCCAAGCTGCAGTATATACTGTAAATAGGTATCTGTATGCACATATGTATATATCCTAGATACACTATACACATTACATACTGGATATAGTATGCATTATATCCCCCAAAAGGGCCTGCTCTGAAAGAAACCTACCAGAAAGTACGACCCCAGGTTGTGTTGCAGCCCCTCCCTGCTATATGATGAGATGCAGGTCTAGTGCATGACCCATATACACAGGTATGCCTCCTGCCATCTCTCCTCCCTGCCAAGTTGAGACTGTGAATCAAATGTGTATGTTCCATTCTGAAGTTTCTTCTAAACCACAGCATTTGACAGATGCCTTTTACCCTCAACAGAGGTATTATTTATTTAAAACCGAACCAGCCTGTCATTAAATATTAGAACAGGTAACAGTTTCAGTAAATTCAGTCCTGCTTTAAAAATTTTATTATTACCCAAAAATTGGTGCAATGCTGTTTAAACAAGAAAGAACAGTTAATTCAATTTACAGTTTCTTTGCAGACATACTACATATTTTATATTTGGGTTTATTATAATGGGCAAACCTCATCATTTTAAAGCTAAGCCATTTGCATTGGTAATTAGAGCCAGTTCTGAAAAAAAGTTAAAATACTTCTCAAATTAAAGGTTAGGCGTCTGGTATTTTGAATAAAAAAAAAATCTGTGATATTAGTTCAAATTACACATATTGGACTGGAGAGTATTAAATCAATACAGGCTTGAAAATCAAGGTGGGAATTAATTACTTAAGTTAATTTCTTCAACCTTGTTCTACACTATTACTGAGAGAAGAAAGTAAGCAGAAAACACTCTACTCACCCACTGTCATACCGTCCATGTAACGCTTGATGATATCAAAGGAATCTCTTAAATTTCCTTCTGTTATGTCGAATATGATATCTGCTTGGTTGGCCGGATATGTAGGTGTGATGGCACGAAGAAAAATAATCTCTGCAAATAAAGAGTATTGCAGAATATACTGACAAGTATTTGAAAACACCACTGAGTAACCCAACAGAATTTGATCCAAAATGACTTGTCCTCAAAGCTGGTGGAGGACACCCCCGCACCCCCAGTTTGTCCTTTAAAATGGAAAGAAAGAACATCTGGGGGAAGGGTGGATTTGGATAGATTTCTTTTCTCCTCCTGCACCATCCAAGAAGCCCTGAAGCCAAAACACTACTTTGAGAGTCCAGAAAGACCACTCTTAGAAACCAGTTGGACTTCCAGCATGTACCCAAAGAGGACAACACTGGGGATCCACAGAGTGGGCAGTGGAGGGGGACCAAACAGATAAACCCCTGAACTCTGATTCCCTTAGGCAGTTACACAAAGTATTGCCATTACAAATTATAGAGTCCTTTTGAGTACTGGAGGAGGAGTTTAGGTTTAAAAAAAAAAAGTGAAACTATTTTTCAAACCTCTTGTGAGGGAGGTAAATATTATTATTCTCATTATTATCCTCACTCTACAGATGATGAAACTAAACCATGGGGCTGTAAGAATTCACCCAAGGCCATGCGCTGAATTACAGTTTAGGAACGACTTCTGGGCTTCGGTAGTACTCTCAGATCGCTAGGTCTCATCTCTTTTTATTAAATCATGAGGATGGACTAACGAGGGAACCGTTTGGGAAGCATCCTGGGCCAAATCCTTAGCTCTGCTGCCAGTACACCTGGTGAGGCTGAAGGGGTGTGTATGGGAGTAGAAGTGGCTATGGGGCATTCCTCCATTCCCTGTGAAGCAGGGCCAGCCAAGGCCTGAAACAGGCCTGACACAATCTACAGCAGCTCTACGCAGCTAAGTTATTGGTGGTTAAATTGTTCCTATATGAACACGGATTGGGACATCTCTTGTCCTACTCCTTCTGCCTGGTACAGAAGTGAAGAATCAGCTTTGGCTTTCATTTAGGACAACTTTCTGAGATAGCAAGGCTGAGACTCTGGGTGCATCAGAAATAGGGATTTAAGATCTTTAAAAACCCCTCCAAAATAATCTCCCTTTCCTCCGTCCCCTTCTTCTCCCTCTGTGTCTGTGCCACACAGTAAGTTGCTGAGTGGCTCATCCTACAGAGAAGCAGGGCTGAAGGCAGTCAACCCACCTATGGAAGTATACGCAATCCCCAGTGAAGCTGCCAGAAAATGAATACAAATGCCAAGGACCAAAAATTGGCTCTTGATCTCTAAGTTTATATGCGAACTAAGCGAAGTGAGTGCGATCCTTATGAAACTGCAGGACTTAAAAACTCGCAGAGGCCAAAGGAACTACAGAAATACATGAATGCCCATGAGAGTGTAGCATCTGGGGCCGGACACTCACTTTGGATGACTGGACAGGCACTCACTTGGACGCTTTTTGAAAATCTTAGCTTAAAAACTTTCTGTCTAGTCCTTGGAATTTCCCTTCCTTTACTGCGTATTTTAAAAAAACAACTTTTTTTTTCACAGGTCAAAAACCAGCAAATCACAGTACTAGATAGTATATTCAATATAATGTATTTTGTAATTAATGTTTGCATGTAGATAAAGGCTATATTCTTGGAACAAGCCACCTGTCAATAGCGAACAACAGACCATAAACAGATGAGAGAAATATAATGAGCGCCTACTTCCTATGGCAAAATCTGCAAGAAAGGGAAGAAAAAAGTCATGGGGCACACAGCTATTATGTGAGTAAATGTGAATTATGTGGTAAATGGGAATTCAGACTCAATATTTCCTTAGACTGGGAAGCCGTATGAGTTAGAGCTCAGAATGACTTTCTTTGCCCCATAAAATTAAAACTCCTGGATATCGAAGGTTTTAATTAAATGAATAGTACACTATAATTTGGAACTGTGCAAACATTTTACTGCACCGGTAGCTAGTCTGGCTTTAGGCAAGGATTTCCGGTGGAGGTTTTATATGTTGTAGTCTATTAAATGGAACAAGGAACAAACCACTTACCTTCAGGTCTTGTAAATTCTCTGAACGTGGGCAGTGAAATGACAGTGTGGGAAATTGTGTGGACTGGATCCAACACACAGTTGACATCATTTGGTCGACAAGACTTAATGCAACGGATAGTATCTGTCTTTTCAAGTCTGACACTAAGAGAAATGAGAGAGAGATGCATATATATCCTGAAAATGAATTACTTTGCGTTTTGCAATCTGGGGAGCTAGAAACTGTAATTGATATAAGTGTTCATTCTTCACCTCACAAACTTAGACAAACGCAGATCATCAGAAGTGCTGGACCACTGAAAAATTTGGCTTGGCTACGAGTTGCAGTCAAAACTCCCTCAAACCCAGTTCTTCAACCCAGGCATGTAAAACCAGAAAGAACTGTAGTGCATAAGACGCCATGTAAAGTCTCTTTTCAAGTACAAACAGGACCCAACAACTAGGCCCAGATCCTCAGCTGCAGTGCACTGGCGCGGTCTCACCAATTTCAGTGGAGCTACGCTTATTTGCACAAGCCTTTTTGTACTCCAAGTGGTATCAGTCCTATAAAGCAGAAACAATTGTTTCCATTCTGGAAACCTGACAGGAAATATCTGAAGGGCCAACTTTCTTTCACGACTTTCAGTGCAGCAAGAGCCAGAAAAGCCTCTCTTTTTTCACAAACACCCCCCCCCCCCTTTCCATCTAAACTGAGAAAACAGAATGGAAACTGGGGGAGGAAAAAAGTTAACCACATTATTTAAAACCTCAAAGATTGAATTCTGAGTTTGGGGAAATGGTAAGGGTCCTTTCATATTCCATCTCAACCAGCTGCTCATTCGTACTTGAAAGTCTATTAAAAGTTAAATGACTTCTTCTCACCCTTGTCCACTAGAGTGAATTTAAAGTCACTTACAGTTCAAGAACTTCACACAATACCCGGTCTGTGTTCACGAGAGATGAAAGGGCTATGCTGGGACTTACAATGTGACTAAGCCCCACAAATGATCTCAACTTTGACCTGCCCATTTCTTCATATTTCTAAGTGGAAAAAAAGAAAAGACTGCAGTGTCAGAGGGGGGGAATTAAAAGATTAAAAGGAAGAAAAATTCACTGAGTAAAAGGGAAACAAAAATGGAAGCTTTAGTTTGTCAGATACCTCAAGAAACAAATGGTTCCTGCTCTTTTCAAAATGTGTTACCCAAGTCCACATCTACAAGCCATCTTTTTTCAGATGTTCAAAGGGACTTTATGGCTCTATTAATAATAAATACATCAGTAACTTCTAATTATATGCTACTCACATTTGCTCATCAAAGAAAACAAAGCCAAACATGGTGATATTGTATGAAGCTAAAATAAAGATAAAAGCGAAAACATGAATCAACATTAAGGAAAACATGCTTCAACAGATATGAACTGGCATAGTCCACGGGAAGGCAATGAAGCTGGGTTAATTTACACCAGCTGAGTCTGGCTTGTTATTCTCACTCTGTAGTTGATGTTTTGATACTGGCCAGGAGATACAGGCCAGGAGAGACCTTTTACTTCCCACCTTTACCTGGGTACAAAATTTCGTCATTTCCTAGACATCTCACAGGGAACAGAACAGGGCTTTCTCCTGAAATGCCTCATGCTGGTCATTTTAGAACAAATTAATTCTGGATATATGGACATAATAGTCTGACCTACGATAACAGATTCCATCCCCTTATTTTAAATCTCAGCTGTCAAATTAAGAAAGGACTTCCAGCCAGCTGACCCTCATGTCTGTGAAATAAGGATCAGCTAAATTACATAGTCTAGTTCCAGCATAAAATAGTCTATTTCAAAACATGTTACAAATAGAATTGAGGAAAAATGTACATCATTTGTGTTTGTTTCCTTCTCTCCCTTTTTTTTTCCTTACTGTGTATAGAGGAGTTTAGTAGACATTTACATCTATACAGCCATACAAACAAACACTGCATCTTTCCTCAGGATCCTGCTGAGCTGGGGTCACAACAGCCAAGTCAGACTGGTTTTACTTCCAATAACGCGTTTAAAAATTCTGAAAAAGTTCTTTAAAAGTTTTTCTCTTTGCATTATATAACACATAAATAATAACTATACCACCATCTAAAGGTTTTAGGGACTCCAATAAACAGTAGCTTGCATAACTCATTTTGGGACATTATTACTAATGAAGTACTGACACAATACATACAGCATCCTAAATTTTCATAGCTGTATTTAGATAATAGCATTTGTATGCAAAAACATTGTGGTGGGAGTGTCTGAAGTGTTCAGTATTGGTCTGCCTTTGCTCCTTCCTGAGATGGAAAGGAGCTTTACTCTCGACTTCAGCTGGAACAAAATTTGGCAAATACAAACATTTCTGAAATTCTCATCCAACAAAGCCATGAATTTGTTTAAGATGAAGTCGTAAGTAAGACTTACACTCATAATTCTCACTTCTGATTCACTGGAGTAAAGCATTCTGACATGAATTAGGTACCCTGCATACAGAAATGGAAGATCACAATGATCACAAGTGGTTTGTGTTAGTTCCTAACTAAAACTAGTTACTAGATCCATCCAGCTTGTAACCATATGTGTGACAGATAAACGTTTGTGTCAGCTCTGTTTCTTTGCACCGTTTATATCTCCTTTTACAAATCCCACCACCTTTTTTTTTGCATGCTCTGTCCACACTGCTAAACTTGAGTTTATGCTTTCATTTTCCCCTGCCTAAATATTCATTCTCTGATCTTTCTTTTGATATCCCTGCTAATTGCTTCAGCATATCCAAAGTGCAGTTGGTAACACTTTGTTCCCTCATTCCTTCGACAGCACATCTTTAGACCTCTTCTGGAGCAACTTCTTTGACAACCAGCATCTATTTCAAATCCTGATACTTGCTATTAATGATGTGCTCTGATCTCAGAATACTTTTTATTTTACCCTTACACGTCATCTTTGCATTTGATCTTTTGATTAGCTGACATTTTCCTTTTTGCTCATGTCCTCCTACAGTGGGGACTGTGCCTGACAAAAGTTTCTTCCTAAGTGCTCAGAACTTTCTTTATTCAAATCTTTCCTTCAAGTTTTCCCCCCTCTAACAAAAATTGCAGCTTTGGAGCTGGTACCTCCTCCAGGCCTTTTTCATTTAAAAGAGAAAAAAGTTAAGAAACAGCTCAGTTGCTCTGATTATTTTGGAAATAATCCTTTCCTGAATATAATTTTTTCTGTCTTCTTGGGTCCTGGTGTCATTCCTTTTCATATTCTCTGTTGGATTCAATTAGTAAGTTCTTTGGACCAGGAGCCATGATTTCATTTTCATTTGGAAAGAACCACGCACATAAATGGCGCTACATAATCACATACATGTTCTTCAAAGTTCCAGCTAAACTGCAGCATTAAAGCATCTAATACAGGAGAATCTGAGCTCCGTGTTCTTCAATTACTTGCTGAATGCAATTAATATGGTAGCATTTTACAATACTGAAGGCCAAATTCTCACACTCCCTTCTTTTCCTGCCAAACAAATATATATTAATGCTTGCAAAAATGAAGTTTATTTTTGAATCTTTATCCTACTTAATTATGGCCTCATAATGAACTGGTAGCCAGAGGGCATTTATATACAAGCATCTTCTGTGGCGGTAAGAAACCCCATTAACTCAAGTAGCACGGGCTTGTGCTTTCAATATTTAAAGCTGGGACTCTATCCCCACTGGCAACTTCTGGCAGCTTTATAAGTATGTGTCAACAGACTTATTAAACATTGGCATTCCTCATGAGACTTGAACTCCTGTCAGCCAGCTGGGATAAACTTTGCCTTAGGGAACATGTAATACTCTGGCAGAGTGCTGCGATCATGCCCCAATCTAGTCCTTGGCTGATGATGAGCCTGAGAGCCCGCAGCTTACAGCTAATAGAGTAATTCCTTGTGTTCAGGTGATTAAGGCTTGTGATCTTGGTTGAGAAGGTTCCCAGTTTCTAACCTTGTACCTTGCCTGTGCTTTCTGTATTTACATAGTGAGGCATTTTTTTAATATGTGCATTCACATGGGTTATTCCTCACTCATCTATGGACTGACTATGCTGTCTAGGTACTGGGCAGCAGAGAGATCTGAGCCCAGGATAGTGTAAAAGAACGTTAATTTTTAGATCATACCTCTGGGACTGAGCTTTTAATATTTATCAATACAAGGACTGAAGAGTAAAATAAATCCTTTTCCAGCTCACAAAACAAAAAAACACCGAAGAAATTCCAGTTGTATTGTCTACATTGTTCTTGATTGCATAGAAGTAAAGGAAGAAAGCCGTAGAAATAAAGGAGGAGAGATTTGGATATTGGAATTCTGGCTGACCTTTCAGGGCTGCTACGGTTTGGTTGGGGGTTTTTTGGTGGTGGTGGTGGGTAAAGTCTTTACAGTTAAAAATTTATCAGCTTTGATATGGAAGTTGGAGAAACAAAAATGTTATGAGACCCATTAAATATCTTTTTCAAATGTTCCTGTAGACACATCCCAGGATATCGCCTGTGAAACAGAAAGGAGCTCTCTGCTGCTAGCTGAATGCTGTTAGGAAGTACATTGCTGTTTTCCCATCATTAATTTTTCAGTTCAGTGGAAATTCCACAGAAAGGAAGATGAAAAATCTCTAAAAGAAATGTTCTTTAGAGGAGATTCTCTTTTGTACCATCCTTAAAAGTTAGAACTGGGATCTGTACCTGGTGGACATCAGCACAAGCTCACTAGCTACAACAGAGCAACGATAACTAGCGCAGCTTGAGAATCTGGCTCCACGCTTTCAAAGTTACTTGTGTGCTGGGGCACCTCTGAGGTCCTAAAGGCCTTTTAATAGATTTTCAGAAAATGCACAGTATTTGTCCCGTAAGTGATGAACTATCTAAATATGTCTCAGTTGAGAGAGCTCGAATTATGTACCTATTTTGTTTGGAAAATTTAGACCTAACATATGCAGCTGTGTATCATCAAATGAGACCAACTCCACTACTGTGTGAAGTAAATTAATAGTTTTCAGTCCTCAGTATATTCAGATAATAAGCTCTTGGATACCAATTTCTGCTTTTTATAATGATGCAAAGTACACATAAGAACCTCCCCAAATTGAGACGTTCAGTGATAAGGGAAAGTGGAGAACTGTAATGATGATGG